TTAACATAAGAATAAAAAAAAATAATAAAAAAAAAATAGCTCTAGGAAAACTGGCCTGAAGCCTTCTGACTCCCTTGAACCCCAGGTTTTGAAGGCTAAAACCACGTGTGAAGACTGTCCTCGTGATAAACTCGCCTCACTTGGGAGCGAACACCTTCTTTGACCGCGAGTGTAATTGTATTTTTCAAAAATGACAATCTTGTTACCATGGATATCTTGGCCACCGCGGCGAGAAATCACAGCACAAAAGCAGGGCGCAGGGGGGAGAGGGTCAAGCGGTGGCTGTGACGAGGGCGCATGCAGGAGCACCCTGCCCGCCCCAGGGACGGGACAGCTGTGACCACCGCCCCGTGAGCGACACAGAGGAGAGAAGAGACACGCCGAATGAAGCAAACGGGCCCCGAGCCCCCCGAGGCAAGCACTGCACCTCAGCCAGGCCACCCACACTCACGGAAAACTCTAGCTCGGCCTTGGGTCTCAGCCTGAGGGAGGGCAGGTCACTGAAAGAGCAGCTGCGGGATAGCTTGGCAAAGAAAGTGTCCTGCAAGGCACTCAAGACAGACAGCCGCCGCGGCTTGGCTGCTGAAGGCCGCAACCACCTCTTCAGAAGTCAAAGCAAGATGGCGGAGTTAGCGGAAAGCCCCGGTTACCATGTTTCGTTAGCGTTCTAGCAAGCATTTCTGATTACGACAAGGACACCGTTATTTACATCCGTTCCTCTAAGAGACTGACCTCAGAGAATCTCCAGAAAAGTCTGCATGTTAACAAAGCGGTCAGGGGGCCGAGGGGAGAGGGAAGATGGGAGGTTTACTGCCCGCGTGCAGACGGCCCAGGGCCTCTTGGAACATGCTTTTCTTGGTCACTCCTTGATTAGGGGGAGCTTTGGGATCAGCATGGTCAGGAATTACTGAGAACCCCTAACACCGGACGTCAAGGGTTTCACATACTGGGTGTAAGGCCCACCGCGAGTTTGACATGTCTCCTCCGTAAATCACAGTGAACTTACGAAGAAGGAGTGATCCTTCAAAGTGGGCGTCTCTGGAGTACCCTGGCTGTACATGGACATTCTCCTCTGGAGGGCTGCCGCCTTGTTCCCAGCGCCCGAGGACGCGGTCATGTCCTCCACATCAAATGGGCTGCAACACAACAGATCCCATGAATGCACGTTCGTTAAAGTCCCCTCCAACCCCTGGACTGCAGGCTGAGAAAGCACCTCATCATACTAAAGTCAACTCAAACCAGTGGGAATTGGGCCGGCAGAAAATAAACCAAGATAAAAGAAAGTGGAGCAGAAAACGGAGCCCAGACCCACCCAAGGGACCACAGATTAGCATTCTAGCTTTAAGTGCAACTTATCTATACACCTAGACACTAGATAAACCTGTTTCTCCGCTCATATTAGAAATGTAAACATTAATGCTTGTCCAACACACAATGTTGAAGTCTGTAAAAAGTCTTTGAACTTTGCAGGGACAGACGGGTTAACAATACAAGAAAGTAACAGACTATTGTTCTAAAGAAAACAAACGTAGACTCCCACTCGCTTCCGTGGACACAGAGACTCTTGCGGCCTGCGAGGAGGACAGTCTGTCCACCATGACAACTTATCATCATGCCATCCGGTTCATCCAGCAAGATGAATGATCTTGCGTTCGATAGGTCAATGACTACAAATTACAAGGAGGGAAGGCCGGGCAAAAGGCACAGACAGTGTTCAGTGACAAGAACCAGGGTCCCTGCTCCTTCTGTGGCTCACCCTCCATATTGGAAAGGGGACCCTGGGATCATGAGCCAAGCCGAAGGCAGACGCTTAACGACTGAGCCACCCGGGCCCCCCAGAAAACCACCTTTAAGTTCACTGCTCTGACAAGAGGTACCTCTTGCCCTTTGGAAATGTTCTATTGCAGGAGAGTGTGAAGGATATTGAAAAGTCTCCGAGGGCCGCGTACGGTATATGAGGTGAAGTGGGAGAGGTGAGGAAAACCCTATAGCGAGAATCGGGATCTTTCCAAGGGTGAAGTATCTCCTACTGGACAGTTATTTTCCTTCCAAATTAGCTTGATTAGGAGCTATATCTTTTTAAATATATATATATATAACGGTTGACAGGGAGGGAAGGCAGCAGGATAAAGTATTTTAAAACAGGAAGTAGAAGAGAACAGTGATAAGACAGGTTCTCCACTTATGGAGACAACAGCGCACGAGCATCATCTGGTGAGCCAGGGGACAGATCCTCGGGCCCTGAGAGGTTGCGACACAGGTCTCGGTTGGACCCGAGAGTGTCCTGTGATGAGCTCCCTGGGGACTCTGACGGTCCAAGCGCCACCCTCGGAACAGCCCTAGCCTGCAGCACGGATTTTGGAACAGAAAAGGGCCACTTACTACCAGGTGATCTCCAGGCTCAGTTTGATGGTGCCGAGGTCGTTGATGTCAACGGCCACCACCTGAGGTCGGGCAGCAAAGAGCTCTTTGGTCTCGCAGGTCACACTGCCGACCAGGAGATGTGTGGCGAGCCCTTTGAGTTCTGTGACCTGGTGAGAGAGGGGGAGGGAAGCCTTACGGGGAGCACGGGAGAAAGGCCAGGCACACTTCCCCCCGTGCTCTTCTCGGCCCCCTGTGCGTGAGAGCAGTGGTCTTCACCATGGACTCGGGGTGCAGAGAGGAGTCTGCGAGGCGGGGGTGAGGGGCAGCGGGAAGCAGTCATGAACACAGGTCCCCACCCACGGGCCACCCAGCCATGCAGCGGGAAGACAAGGAGCGGCGGAGACGATACTAAACCTTGATGGAGATGAATCCAACGATCAGGGGCAAGAACACCACTTCCTCCCCATCCCAGCTCTGCTTGCCATTGGCTTCTATCTTGCCTTTCAGCTTCCACCTCTGTCGGCCGTACTTCATGAAAATCTGCGGAGAAGAACCACACCTCAGGTTCCAGGCCTTCCCCATCCCAACACCAAGATAAAAAGGCAGGGAAATAAAGCAGCTGCCTCTCCACCCCTTCTCCATCCTCCTCCATCTACCCTTCTGGTGGGTTCTTCCAAATTTCCTTGGGCCGGGGTCGGGGGTGGGGTGGAGTGGGGAAGAGGCTTTCAAGGGGGAGTAAGGTCTGCTTCCCTCCAAGAGGGCGTGGAGGGCCTTCTGTAGTAAAAGGTCATCACACCGAGCCCTTCCGTGTCACCACGGTCATGGGGACCAGTTCCTTCCCCCGTGAGGCTACGAGAACTACTCCCCGGCTCCTTTACAGGGAGGAGAAACCATCAGCTAAAATCTACTTAGCAGCCAGAAGCAAGAAGTAAGACTCCCTCCTCCTGGATGAGGAAGACAGAGCTGAACAAGGATTCTGAAATCCGACATAGTCCCGGGAGAGGGTCTCCAGCTCTCCTTGCTCAGACAGGAAGGTGCTCCTCCCCCTGCCCTCCCCAAGAAGAATGATCATAGAGTGTTTCGGAGGAGACAGTTAGATAAAATAATTAAGGGAAGTTCCCTTTTGAAGGGGGAAAAGATAAAAGGCTTTTTTACTTTATGGAGTATATCTTTATACAGAAAGGTCTAGATACTAGTGTTCTTTATGAGCACTCATGATCCTGGATTAGCTTTTGCATCAGGAGAAAAGACTGCTATCAAGTACAACATTGGAACACTAGGGAAAAGATCAGTATGGATCATATAACAAGTAAGGGTAGCTAAAGGGCCAATGTTAAGTTAGCTGTGTTGAGAACTGCACAATGAAGATAGGAGAGCATGTCCTTCTGTTTTTAGGAAAATCATTTAGGAGCAAAAGGTCCCAATGTCTGTGCATTAGTCTAAAATGGTTCAGCACAATAACAACAATCATAGCAGTAATAATAAAGCCAATGTGACATAATGTTAAAAATTGGTGTCTGGATGAAAAGTATGTGGGGGTCTCCATCTCCAAACTTTCTCATTGGCTTAATTTTTTTTCAAAATCAACAAACGTAAAAGGAAAAAAAAAAGGCAATTTAAAAGCAAAATAATGGCCACCTGACTCCTGCCCCTCAAATCCTCAATTCCAACCCGCAGACCGACAGGATACTTACTTCATATTGATCTCCCGGACAGAGGCGAGCAAAACCAGCCAGACCTGTAAGGAAGCCACTGGGATATGAGGTGTAGAATAGATTCCCCCTCTTCACAAACCCACACCAGCACAGTTACAAACCCAAGCGTCAGACCTCTGTGAAAGCTCATGCTATGGTTTTGGGAGAGCACCTGACGGCACAGCCACGGCTGGGAATTCCATCTATCCCGGCCGGAGAGAATATTCCTGACTGGATTAATCAAAGATGCTGCTTTCTGGGGCAAAGGAGACTGTACCTTTGGCCAATTGAGGGTCCACCCAGATTCCAGGATCAGAGAATTAGGGCCAGAAAGATATATTCATTTATTTACCCAAAATATTCCCATGAACATAAACGGCTCTCCTGTTTTTCTCTCTGTCCCAAGATTTGTGATTTCTGATAAGTGCCTCTCGTTTGGGTGAAGATTCTATGGACCCTTGCCTCTCTCCAATTCACTCATTCCTGTGTTTTCCTTTTCCTATGTACCTGGCCTAATGATACCACCATCTACTGTATTATGAAACCGCTTAAAATGGATTATCATCTACACAAAGCCAGTGATTAAGAGAACAAAAACCAACCAACCAAATGACAACAACCCACACTCCCCAAATGGAGATGGGCCTTCCCTTCGATGGCGCCATTCCTAGCTGGGTCTGCTCAGGCTGAGCTCCAGCCCCAGGCCTGCTGTAGCAGCAAGAACACATCATGTCACACCACTGTCGTGGGACATCTCAGGGACCCAGGGTCTCATCAGTCTTTTTCTTTCTTTCTCTAAATATTTGTGGAGACTCAATGTGTGGGAGGATCTGTGCACTGGGGTAACAATCTGCAAATTAAGAGAGACTTCCCTGGTACCCAGAAAACAGAACAAAATGTGGTTCAAGTCCACAGGGACGAAACAGACAAGGACAAGACACAGTAAGAGGAGTTAAAGCTGAAGTTGATTTCTGTTTTATCTTACCAGTGAGCCCCCTCTAGATATTAACTCCAGTTTCTTCACCTTTAAAGGGGGGTAACAATGTCCACCTCATAGATCTGTTTGTAAAGACAATCGATGGCAGTGATTGTAAAGACAACATGTAGTAATGATTATATATTGGGGAGTGGGATAAACTATTGCTTGAGCATGAGCCAGACACAGTCACCTAAAAGTCACCTAAAAGTCACCTATCTGTATGAAAAGACAGCAAATTGATACACATCAGAGATGGGAAAAGCAATAAAGAGACAGTAAAAGGAGGTTTTTTCCTATATTTTGTATTTTTGTAAGAATGTGTGACTTATATAATTGAACAAGAAACTCTATCTCATTTAACGTAGGATAGTTTCATGGAGGAAGGTGGCATTTGAACAACAGAATATCTCCACCAGCAAATGAAGGCTTTGGGGAAGAGGACACTTCTGGGTGGAGTGAGTGGCCTGTATTCACTCAGCAATATTTCCGGAGTGCCTACTGTGTGTCAAGCATGAATAAAATTGTGGGGAGGGAGGTACGCACATCACACGTACACAGTAAATGTAGGGACTAAACTTGTCAACAGAGGCTTATCAGTAATCCTGGCTCATTGTAATCAAGGAATGAAACAAATTTAACAAAAATGGGCAAAATCTTTAGTACTTTCTCATTTTCTAAAGAACAAAAAAAACCAATACAATTTTATGATAAAGAATTCCAGTTAAGAGTTTAGTACAAATGGTTATATACAATGGAATATTACTCGGCCATAAAAAAGGATGAGATCTTGCCATTTGTGAGAACATGGATGGAGCTAGAGAGTATAATGCTAAGTGAAATAAGTCAGGCTGAGAAAGACAAATACCATAGGATTTCATGTATATGTGGAATATAAAAACAAAACAAATGAATAGACAAAAAGCAGAAGCAGACCCATAGATACAGGAAACAAACTGATGGTTGCCAGAGGGGAGGAGGGTGGGGTGATGGGCCAGATGGGTGAAGGGGAGGGGGAGGTCAGACTTCCAGTTACGGAGTAAATAAGTCACGGGCATGAAAAGTACAGCATTGGGAATACAGTCGATGGTAATGTCAGAGTGTTGTATAGGGACAGATGGGAGCTACAGTCATGCTGAGCACAGCATAACATATAAACTTGTCAAATCACTATGTTGTACACCTGAAACTAATGTAACATTGTGTGTCCACCACACTTCAATTAAAAAAAAGAATTCTGTACAGATGTTTAGATATCTTTAATAAGATAGGCAGAGAAAAGGCTATTTGGGTATTCATGACAATTTTTACAAAGTTTAACACTGGTGGAGTGATTATGACTTTAACCTTTTTGTCTATTTGCCCATATTTTAAAAAATGAGAAAGTACCATTTATAAATTTTAAAACAGATTCGAGCAGAACCGTCCCTCACTTTTAATAGAGGCGGCCAGAGAGGAAATTCTTTTGAACTGCTGGTACAGAGCAGCCCTGGGACTCTTCCATTCCCTCACACACAGGATGTCCATTCGACCAGCAGATCCCTTGGTGGCTCAGTCTCCTCAAGCTGCCATTTATGACCTTTGAGTTCTTAGTTGTTTTTATATTAGCGTAAACATGGTTCTACCCATGGAAAGATGATGAGGATGGTATCACACAACGTATTATGCCTGCTGTGAGTAGCCCCATGAAGCTGTGAGACTGTGGAATGAATGAATCTGCTTTCCGCCCATCTCAAGGACACTCCAGGGTTAAGATGATAGACAAGGTCCAGGGAGGCTTAAAAAAAGCACCTGCTGTTACCACCATCTGTCAGTAGATGGCAGCAACCCACCAGCTCGTTCTGCCCCCCTACCCTCAGAGCCCCTGAGGACCGGTCTAACAATCAGAACATAAGAAGCCACTTGAACAGATTTCCTGAAATAAGAGCACAATTTAAAAAGTCAATGTTCACTAATCATTTTCTGGAGGATTTGGATTTTTTTTTAATACATCAGAAAAAAAGCTCAATTGACTGGTTTCTACAAACGGGAATTGGCGAGACATGCCAATTCTAAGAAAATCCAAAGTGCCCTTTAAACCTCTGCAGAGGGACACCTGAGCGGCTCAGTCGGTTGAGCATCCAACTCTTGGTTTCTGCTCAGGTCATGATCTCTGGGTCGTGAGATCGAGCCCCACATCGGGCTCCCTGCTCAGCGGGAAGCCTGCTTCTCCCTCTCCCACGCCCCCTGCTTGTGTTCCCTCTCTCGCTGTGTCTCTCGCTGTCAAATAAATAAAATCTTTAAAAAAAAAAATGACCAGAAATTTCATATCTGAACTTAAACAAATGGGAAAAAGGTACTTGGAAGACATGGTTTTTGAGCCCAGGAGCCCAGGTTATTAAAGCAAAACTTCTTGAAACTGCTTGTATTGACATCACCCCGAGGCGCTGATCACCAACCAGCATGTTGCCGACCGGCACCAGCCCGGCAGAAGCGGGTCTGCTTGCTATGCTTCCTGAAGTTCCAGCTGCTCGTGTAAGCCAATCACCGTGCTGCTTGCAGAATTGAGACCAACAGCGGGGCAATTACAGTTACAGCTCGATGTCTTTCAAACCCGGCCAGAGGCCTGCTGGGATTTTCACAGCTGGGGAAATGTTCATGTTTTCTCAGCAGTTTTGTGATTACTGCTGCACCGTCTAGAAAGCGTTCATGATGGCCACTCTGCAGGCCGTCATGGGGGGTGAGCGTCCAGGGGTGGGTGGGGGTGGGGGCTTTTATGTCTATGGTGCATCTTCCTGTACCTTTGGCTGTTTTACTGTAAACACCCAGATACAACGGCTCTTCTCTGGCCTCGTTTAGAAGGCCCAGATGCCACAGTACGTAGCCTCCCACCTTTCCTTCCTTTGCTCGGAGACTTTTCTGCTGGAAGAATGCTCCCCATTTTTGCTAGTTCTACGATGAGCTTCCTTTCCAAAGATAAAACAGATCGTACCTGCTGACAGCACATATACACAGAAAACGATGGCTGGGTATTCGCGACAATGTTAACAAAGTTCCGCACCGGGTGGAGCGATGATGAAAGTAAGGAAGTCACACTTTGCTCCAAGGAAAGGAGCCAAGCAGCTGAATGGCCAGGAGTTCTGTTCCAGGCCTCCGTGATTTATTGACCAGGCATACATTGTGCAGATTCACTAGCTCACAGGCAGTTCTTCCCTCTGCCCTGAAAGCCGGGGAGGCAGGCCTGGGCTTGGAGATACCCACTACCTGGGATTGCACTGGAACAGAGCACAAGCTGGGAGAAGCAGCAGCTTTCCTTGAGAGACCACTTTTCATCTGGGTCCTGGCTAACAAGAGGCCCCCTCGTTAGCCTGACATTCAAGGCCCATGGACGTCCATAGCTCTTCTTCTAGTAAAGGCTCCCGCCCAGCCAGGCCACCTGCCATTTGTCAACGAGCTCTTCCCTCTTTGGTGAATGCCATTCCCTTGCTGTTCACCTGCCCAGAGCAGCCCCTCTCGTTCTAATTCAAGGGTTACATTGGGGAGCCTTCCTCCTTCCTTCCTGCTTCCCTCCCCCTAGATAGGTGAGTGGCACCCTTCTCCCGTCACCCGGGGGCTTCGGAGACAAGCTGGCCACCCCAGTGGTCTGGGGGGGGTCATTCATTCCACTGAACTTGAATGCACTGGCTCATACATCCATTTTTCTCCAGTGGACTGTGTGGAACTCAAGGCCAGGGGCCACTCATCTGGATGCAGCCTCGTGCTCGGCCAAGAACAAGAGTTCTGTAACCGATCAGTTGTTTCTATCAACAAGGCACCCACACCCCCGGGAGCCCAAACTCTGACACACACACACACGAAACCAAAAGGGTTGTTTTCTTTGTGTTGGGTGGTGCAGAAAGGGAAGTGTGGAAGGGTGTGGCTGGAGGAAGCGGGGTTACCAGGTCTGACAATATTATGAAATATCCTCAGTGGATGTCAGTATGTGTGCTGGCTGCGGGGTGGTTATGTTTTACCAGAAGGAGTCACAGATAAGAAAGTAGCTGATTGCAAAGATGCAAGATTTCTTGGCAGCGTGAGGAGGCTTCCCTTTTATCAAGAGAGAGGAAGATTTCCATGGAGGTGTTTCCTTTGAAAGGCTTCCTAGTTGTCGTTTCTGAGTTCTCATGTTAGATTAGGGACGTGCAAAGGGAGAATAATCTGTAATGAAAAAGGAGAGTATGTTTTGGGCCTAGAGTCCCCCTGGGGGAAACCGAGCGCCCAGACAGAAGTGACGGAAGCAGACCAGGCGGGAAAGAGAGAACAGGCAGAGGCAGAGAAGGAATTGCTCGGTAAACAGGAGGTTCTGTCAGCCCACCAGGATAACCCTTTAGGACCCAGGGCTATTATTTAGCCGGCGCCCAGGTCCCCCAGGGATGGTGGGCCCCCCAGCACCATCATCTGCCGGACCCCCAGGCCTGAAGCTCCACACCCATGCTGCCCATGGGCTGGGCTGGAGATGGCCCTCCCACAGAAGAGGCCATCCGTGGAGCAACAGTTTCTAGTATTGGCTCTGCTCTCTTCGAACTTCCCGCCTCATAGGAGACCAAGTGTGGGAATATTCTAGAAGCCAGGAGCCCTGGAATTCAGTTTCAAGTTTGACTCCAACTCACTATGTGACTTCTGGGACAAGTCATATAAAATGGGGAAATGATCATCCTGCCAAAAATGGATGCCTTGGATAACAGAAATCAGGGAAATCTGGTACTCCCTGTGTGAATCGTGAGAAGATGTGTGACCTGAGTCTCTCCCAGCTGTGAGACCGACCAGTCTGCACGGATGGTGCCGAGTGTCGGGGGACATGAGAGGGACGTGTTTTCTGCTAAACACTGATTCAGGGCAGTTGTTTTCCAGAATGAGGCTGCTGATGAAATCATCCTGCGAGTCTTAAGAAAAAATCTTCCAGGGCCCACTCTGACTTGCTGGGTCTGGGGCAGGGCCTGAGCGGTTTTGGAACCTCAGACTCAGGTAAGAGGACCCAACACGAAGACAATAAACGAAAAACTGACAAAGCGCGGAGGCCCCACCCCAGTGGGACAGCAAGTGTTGAGATTTCACACTGAATGACAAACCAGTTCACACTCAGGTCTGCCATAGAGAAGAATGCAGCCACTGGGGAAGCTGAAGGTCAAGGTCGTTGGTATTCTAGGAATAACTCATTCAGAGTGGTTCTCACGGGGGTGCCTAGTGCTTGATAGAAACAGTTCCTGCAGACTAAGATGACTCACTCGAAAACGAAGCTCTCCTGTTGAGCACTTAAAAAAAAAAAAAAAAAGTGCCCTTTCCCTATTCCCTTAATTGCAAAAAGTCGACAAGAGGGTGATTAAGTCTCCATTAGCAACCCCAGGGATCAAGCTGCTGCAGAAACATGAGGACCAGAGTGCCTCCACCCCAGTTCTCTCTTTGCCACAGTCAATGGGCCCACATTCAAGACAAACGGACTCGTGGCTGCCAATTGGCGAGCCCTGCCCGCAACACCCGGGCCACGCTCCGTTTCCTAAAGCTGGCGTGCCTTTTTTTGTTCTGAAGATGCCACGGTACAGATATCAACAACCAATCATGCTTCTAGATCAGAGCTTTCCAGAACAAACACCAGAAATGCACTGGACAGAGGATGAAAATGCACAGTCCTCTGTGGGTTTTACACTAAAAATAAATACCATTAAGTAATGGGTGGGTAGTTTGCAGAAAACGTGAGCAGGAAGGAGCGACTGAAACGACACCCAAAGAAGCCAAGAGACAGATCGAGGACGTGGGATGGTCTGTACAACATTGGTTTCTATGCCAAGTCAACAGTAGGAGGAAAATGGGAAGGGTCTGCTTTAGATGAAAGGAAGCCTAAGAGACACCTAATGACCAATCACAACGCATGGACCTTATTTGGATCCCAGTGTGAACAAACCAACTGTACAAAGCATTTCGGAGACAGCTGGGGAAACTGGATAATGGAGTGGATTAATAACAAAGGCATATTAATTTTATCAGATGTGATAATACTTGGCATTGCGATTAATTACATAAGAAGCAGCCCCCGTTCTTTAAGGGATGCATATTGAAATACACACGGGCAGACTCACACATCTGGGTTATATATCATCAAAGGGAAAAACAGGGAAAAGCAAATGTGGCAAAATCTTGCTAATTATTAAATCTAGGTGATATGGGATTCATTGCAACATTCTCTTCATTTCTGTGTATGCTTGAGGTTCTGCCATAATAAAGATTTAAGGGTGCAGGCAAGTCTCAGGACTAGAAGGTTCTGGAACATCAACACATTCACAAATGGGGAGGGGTGAGCGTGGGCGGCACAGTGTCCTTGCAAGAAAAGTAAAAATAGCGTGTGCACTCAAACTTCAAGAAGCTCTGTCTGTGGAGACGGCGCCTTCCTCTCTGAACAGGGGAAAGAGTACCTTTCATCTTGATGGAGAACTCCCCCAGCAGATTCTCCAGCTCTGCCTCGATGGTGCACATATTCTGTGAAGAGGACAGAAAACGGGCATCAGCACGAGGCTTCTGTCACCAACAGCGCAAAGCACGTGATGTTCTAGTAGCTGCAGACAACTACAGCTCGAGGCTCGAACACCAGCATTCACCTGTTTGCAGAGAGCTCCCCAGCCCTGCCGTGAAGCGTTCTGGACAAAATTCCACCCCCCCACCCGGAGTCTACGCAAGCCTTCTGGTGTACGGGAAATTTAGAGCACAGAAGAACAATTTCACTTATTTCCATGCACAACGGTGAGGATTGGGATGCTAGACAAAAAGGAAAGCAGTCTGGGGGCGCCTGGGTGGCTCTGCCTTCGGCTCAGGTCAGGATCTCAGGGTCCAGGGATCGAGTCCAGCATCGGGCTCCCTGCTCAGCGAGGAGTCTGCTTCTCCCTCTCCCTCTACCCCTCCCCACTGCTCGTGATCTCTCTCTCTCTCTCAAAGAACTAAATAAACAATCTTTTTAAAAAAAAAAAAAGGAAGAAGGAAAGTAGTCTGCTCCTAAATGGAGAAGATCAAGGTTCTTAAGTCGCTGACTTTGGGACCTCCTACAGCAGAAGACTCGCTGTGTTTCCTTCAGATGTTACATCAATGATCTCATCACATTATATCATAAACAGACGAATCCAGAACATGATATTCTGCAGGAACTGGCCTGGATTCTACAAAAAGGTAATGTGGGAAAAAAGTTCTAGACCAAAGGGGCTAAAGAGACATAAAAACCAAATGCCACCAGTTACCTCCCATTAGATCCTGACTTGAAGGACAATACACTAAGACAGTTATCAAAGACATGACCGGGCCAAATAGCGGCATCTGAAGATGCACAGACCATTGGATAACTCCGTTAATTGACTAACTGTCTGAGTTGTGGGAATGGCGTGTGTTTGTGCAGGGAGACACAGGCGGCCACCGTGGGTTCTGTGCAAAACACTTATGGGCTGAAGGGTCGCCATGTCCATTACTTACTGTCAGATGACTCAGCAAAAAAACAAGGATAAAGAACGAAAAAGTTGAGCATAGGTGAGAGAAGGAAAGCAAATATGGCAAGACGTTACCAACTGGTAAAGGCGGATGGTGTTTATTTATTTATTTTTATTTATTTATTTTTTTAAAGATTTTATTTATTTATTTGAGAGAGAGAGAATGAGAGAGAGCACATGAGAGGGGGGAGGGGCAGAGGGAGAAGCAGACTCCCCGCCGAGCAGGGAGCCCGATGCGGGACTCGATCCCGGGACTCCAGGATCATGACCTGAGCCGAAGGCAGTCGCTTAACCGACTGAGCCACCCAGGCGCCCCAGATGGTGTTTATTATAGTAGTCTTGACTTTTCTGTCGGTTGGAAATTTCTCTGAATAGAAATCGGGGCCATAATAACAGCAGTTCTGTGTCCTGCAAAGTGAGTGAGGCTGGCTTCCTGCGGTAAAGGCCACGTGCCCCCAAAATGATTCCTGGGCCTGACAAGAGTCTTCCGCTCACGCTACTGCTGAGGGCCCCCCGAAGGCAGGAGGAGGGACACCATCTAAGTGTGTGGTTAGACAGGTCACTACGCACACTGGCCCTGCTTCCTCCGGATCTGAGGACCTCAACAGAGCAGTCGGAGTTAGAGATCGAAAACGGAAAAGTGCGCGGCCAGGGCTCTCCCGAGGCGGCCTTGACCGTCCGGCCCCCGGGAGTGGGCTGCAGGCTTCTCCCCCAGCAACCGGCCTCCATGGTGGGGGGCGGGGGTGGGGGGCACTCCTGCCAGCCCACAGCCCCGTGGGCACCGACAGGGAGTGCTCCGTCTGCGCTTTGTGGGCTCAGGACTTCAGGATTGCTGAGTGAGGCGACAGCGCCCCGTTGTTCTCTCCAGAAGATGCTCTCCCGCACCCGTGTGTTGATGGGGTGGGACGATGGCACTGCCTTTGCCCTTGTGAGCTCTGGGGACCTCAGAGAGCTTCGCAGACCTCGGGGAAACGTCCTGAAGCCTGGGCTCCGTGCCGCTTGAAACAAAGCCTCCGTATCGAAAACCGCTTCTCTCAGAGCGCAGCGCGGCCCGGTGAAGGAACACATGGCACTTTCCCGAAACGCCGGGGACGTTAGCCTGCAAGCAGGGTTGCCACGAGCGTCTTCAAGAAAACATGGGGGCGCAGCTAGTTTAGCAGGTGATGCTCTTCCGATTCAGCCGGGCAGCTGTGGAGGAGCCCTGCCGCCCCTGCAGCAGGCCCCCGAGCCTCTCCCCCAAAACGCTCTCTGTGATAAAATCCCGGCTCTGCGGCTCCGTGAAGACAAAAACCACCCGATGTCAGGTAGGACGCTACAGAAGTCCGACTCCTTTCTCCCCGAAGGCGCAGTTCCTCTTGCTGAAACGGTCCTCTACATCTTCGAACGTGGGAGCGGAGTCTGATGCCACGTGCCGGCACCCGGGCAAGGATGGGTATTTCGGAAACAGCCGGCGAATATTCTAGAAGGGGCAGCTTCTCCAGGCTGCCGGTCAGTTACCTGCTCCTGGACTCCGAATGACCGTTTTAAGTGCTCTTCTATTTCTGAGACATGCACAGATGAGGTCTCAGGAACCAGGGCTGCTTCTAAGCCAGGGCGTCTCAAGCCCTGGGGCCATGAACTTAGATGGGGGGAAGAGAAAGTCCCCATGATTTCACAACCAGTGAAATGCATGGCGTGGAAGCATCACGGATGTGGGAAGCCCCAGCGGTATGACTGGTACCTGTGGGTCTCTGACACATAGAAATCACTGGTGTATTCACACCACACCACTGGTTCCAGAGAACCTTGAACAGTCACTCATACTTATTGCTACTTTAAAATTTTATAACTTCTGGGGCGCCTGGGGGGCTCAGTTGGTTAAGCGACTGCCTTCGGCTCAGGTCA